ATGGACAGTCATATCTACCGTTCCCCTTATGCCACAATAAAATTGGGAATACCGATGGATCGGTGCCAAAAAACAATAGTTGCAAAAAATTTTATTTTGTTCTAGCTCTATTTAACGATTTTTAATGATAAATAAACCATTTACCACCCTTTTGTCAAACACTTTATGCAACATGAATAACACTCTTTCCATTATATAAATTATTTAAATTAAAACCATAATTGTAAATAATAATAGTGTGACAATTACAGTTTCTTACCAGGTAGATATTTTTATATTACGTTAGCTTATTATTTAACAAAATAATATTTAATACAAATATAGTACGTTAAACAGAATATAATTATAAAATAATTAATGAACTAAATTCATACCTTTATCCCCATTTTGATTAACCAGCTCAATTCTATTAGTTGGGCCATCAAGCTTGGTAAATTCATAAATCATATGCGTACATAGTGTTGGGTCAAAATTAGTCACATTAAACTGTTCAGAGTAATTTATTAAATGACAAATTAAATACAACTGNTTTATCCCCATTTTGATTAACCAGCTCAATTCTATTAGTTGGGCCATCAAGCTTGGTAAATTCATAAATCATATGCGTACATAGTGTTGGGTCAAAATTAGTCACATTAAACTGTTCAGAGTAATTTATTAAATGACAAATTAAATACAACTGTTTATATCAGGCTAATATTTTTATTAATTAATTATTTTTAAAAATATACATACCTGTCCCTTGCTAGCCCAGTAGTAGGACTTTGAGTTCCAGTAGCAAACAATACGATAATCAATGCTATGATTATCGCTATGAATAGCATCTGGGTCTATATATTTTTTTAATTTAATTATTTAAAAACTACANTGTTTATATCAGGCTAATATTTTTATTAATTAATTATTTTTAAAAATATACATACCTGTCCCTTGCTAGCCCAGTAGTAGGACTTTGAGTTCCAGTAGCAAACAATACGATAATCAATGCTATGATTATCGCTATGAATAGCATCTGGGTCTATATATTTTTTTAATTTAATTATTTAAAAACTACATTTGTTTAAACATGTATATTTAATAAAACATATTAAATATTAATATACCTTTATGCCAGTTTATACCAACAGTAATTGTGATTATAGCTATCACTACAATCAACACGATTATTCTTGATCATTTTAAAGCAGGCTATTTCTTTGGGAGTCCTAAACGACCGTTGGAACTTAAACTTAAAAATCTCACACACACAAAATTTTGAGCATAAAAACTGGTATGACTATAAAATTCAAAAATTCAAAAATTCAAAAATTCAATTTATGAGTAGTGGTCAGAAGTGGTCNGGAGTCCTAAACGACCGTTGGAACTTAAACTTAAAAATCTCACACACACAAAATTTTGAGCATAAAAACTGGTATGACTATAAAATTCAAAAATTCAAAAATTCAAAAATTCAATTTATGAGTAGTGGTCAGAAGTGGTCAACAATGGTCAGTAGTGAACTGAATTAACTTAATTATGCACTGAATTAACTTAATTGTACACTGAATTAACTTAATTGTACACTGAATTAACTTAATTGTACACTGAATTAACTTAATTGTACACTGAATTAACTTAATTGTACACTGAATTAACTTAATTGTATACTGAATTAACTTAATTGTACACTGAATTAACTTGATTGTACACTGAATTAATTTAATTATGCAGAAGTAAGTTAATTCAGTTCACAATCAAGTTAATTCAGTGTACAATCAAGTTAAATCAGTGCATAATTAAGTTAATTCAGTGTACAATTAAGTTAATTCAGTGTACAATTAAATTAATTCAGTGTACAATTAAGTTAATTCAGTTCACAATTAAGTTAAATCAGTGCATAATTAAGTTAATTCAGTTCACTACTGACCATTGTTGACCACTTCTGACCATTGTTGACCACTACTGACCACTACTCATAAATTGAATTTTTGAATTTTTGAATTTTATAGTCATACCAGTTTTTATGCTCAAAATTTTGTGTGATGTGAGATTTTTAAGTTTAAGTTCCAACGGTCGTTTCGGACTCCCAAAGAAATAGCCTGGTTTGAAAGCTATTTCAGTGTTTGTTGAAAACATTTACGATGATCAATCTATTGCAACATTAATTACTGGCCTATCTAAATTAACAATATTGAATGATTTAAAAATAACGTGCCCTGATAGTGTTCG